CTAATGTAATAGCCAGTAAGGATAATGCAGGATAAAAAAAAAGAATTCTGATTTTATAATCTCTGGATTAAAAAAAAAAGTAATATCTGAACAATTTGGCTGTTCTGATGCAAAATCTGTATTGAAGTCTTACCAGGAAAATGGAAGATTCTCTCTAAAAGGGAAACAATTTTTTAGAGGCATCAAGTTCTCAATCTGTTATACATTGCAATACCTACCAATTTCCAGTGACCCATTTTCATGGACGTTTTAAGATTTTCCCCTGGGTTCTTATGCCCTTTATGACACTACCATTTTCTTGTTTCTGCTCTTAAGACTACACTAATGTAACCTAAAAATATTTCCAAATGCCAAAAGAGGAGAAAATAATTGAGAGAATAGCAGCAGTGACTGCAAGGTATGAGAGCAATAGATGAAATAGACAAGTCAGTCGCTCAGAAAATAAGAACTAGTGGATTGGAGGAGGCAAAGCATTGCTGTGCCAAGCCACAGACTGGCTAGTTTTCAATAGGCAAATGGCAGAAAATGTAGACAGTTGATAAAAAATAATGTAATGTGGCATCAAAGTTTTAAAATGTAAATGAGCTACCAATTTAATACAAACGTTAGAGTAAGACTTGTAAATCGTGCGAATGGCTAAGCAGCAATTTTTAACTGTGTCCATGGGTTATGCATATATGCATATAAGCTCTTTGGTTAATCTCTTCCCACCTCACCCCCTCCATCCACTGACCTTCTCTCTGAGATTCATCAGTCTGTTCCATGCTTCTATGTCTCTGGATTTTTTAAAAATATATCTTTATTAATTTCAGAGAGGAAGGGAGAGGGAAAGAGAGATAGAAACGTCAATGATAAGAGAGAATGATTGATTGGCTGCCTCCTGCACATCCCCCACTGGGGATAAAGCCCGCAACCCAGGCATGTGCCCTTGGCTGGAATCGAACCTGGGACCCTTCAGTCCACGGACCGATGCTCTATCCACTGAGCCAAACCAGCTAGGGCTCTGGATTTTTTTTTTTATTATTATTTTGTTCATTAGATTTCACATATGCGTGAGATCATATGATACTTGTCTTTTTTTGACTGGCGTATTTTGCTTTGCTTAATACTCTCCGGGTCCCTCCATGCTATTGTAAAGGGTAAGAGAAATGGAATTTTATAGCTGTATAATATTCCATTGTGTAAAATGTACCACAGTTTTTTTATCTACTCATCTACTGATGGGCACTTGGGGGCTGTTTCCAAATCTTAGCTATTGTCTGCATTCCTACCAGCAATATACTAGGGTACCCTTTTCTCCACATCCTTGCCAGTTTTTGTGGTTTGTTGATTTTTTGATGGTAGCCATTCTGACAGGTGTGAGGTGATACCTCATTGTCGTTTTAATTTGCATCTCTCTGATGGTAGTGACTTTGAGCATTTTTTTCATATGCCTCTTGGCCATCTGTCTGTCCTCTATGGAGCAGTGTCTATTTAGGCCCCTTGCCCACTTTTTAATTGCATTGTTTGTCTTACTTTTGTTAAGTTGTGTGAGTCTTTATATATTTTGGAAATTAACTCTTTATCAGGTGTATCATTAGCAAATACATTCCCCCATACAGTGTACTCCCTTTTCATTTTGTTGATACTTTCTTTTTTAAAAAAAATATATATTTTATTGATTTCAGAGAGGAAGGGAGAAGGAGAGATAAAAACATCAATAATGAGAATGAACCATTGATCGGCTGCCTCCTGCATGCCCTCTATAGGGATTGAACCCACAACCCAGGCATATGCCGTTGACTGGAATTGATCCTGGGAGGGACCCTTCAATCTGCTGGCCGACGCTCTATCCACTGAGCCAAACCGGCTAGGCCCACTGATACTTTCAACGAGTGTATCTTTCCATGTGAGTGTCTTATAGGCAGCATGTGTGAGTTTTGTTTTCTCTATTCAGCCACCCAACATGTCTTGATTGGAACATTTAATCCATTTACATTCACAGCGATCCCTGATACATTTTATTATTCAGGTTTTTCATCTTTTTTTTCTTCTTCAAGAAGTTCATTCAACATTTAGTGATGGTGAACTCACTTAGCATTTTCTTGTTTAGGAGTGTGGTACTTTTCAAACTTTAGTGTGGGTACAAAATGTTGGGATGTGCCCAGCCAGTCTGGCTAAGTGGCTGAGAGTCAGCCTATGAACCAGGAGATCACGGTTTGAAACTCTGTCAGGGCACATGCCCAGGTTTTGGGCTTGATCCCCAGTGTGGGGCGTTCAGGAGGCAGCCGATCAATGATTCTCTCTCATCATTGATTTTTCTATCTCTCTCTCTCCCTTCTTCTCTAAAATGAATTAAAAAAAATTTTTTTTAAGAAGTTGGGATGCTTGGCAAAATGTAGATTTAGGGTTTGTCAATCTTGACATTATTGCCACTTTATGTGGGAACATCTTTTGTTGGACAGACTGCCGTGTGCATTGTAGGAAGTTTAGCAGCATTACACAGCTACTAGATACCAGTACCACCTTTGCCCCAAAGATTGCGAAATATCCCCAAGGCGCAAAAAGCACTCCCCCTCTATGAAAACCACTCGTCTTAGGATGAAGCTTAGAGACCTTCATTTCTAAAAAGAACATCTAGATGATTTTGACAAATATGGTCAGTGGGCCAATCTTGAGAAACATTGAACTAAAGTGTTATGAGTTGAATTATGTCCCCTCTAAAATTCATATTAAGGTCTAACCCCTCCACCCTCCCGCCCCCAAAAAATACCTCCAAATGTGACCTTTTTTGGAAGTAGAGTCATTGTAAATTTACAAGACGAGGTCATACTGAGTTAGAATATGATCGGTGTCCTTATAAAAAGGGTAAGCTTGGACAAAGGCACACAGGGCAAATGCCCTGCAAAGTTTGGAGCTGTGCTGCTACAAGCCAGGGAACTATAAGAAGCCAGGGGAAAGGCCTGGAACAGAACCTTCCCTAGCACCTACAGGGAGAGCATAGCCTTGCATATACCTTGACCTCCTACTTCCAGCCTCTAGAACTGTGAGACAATACATTTCTGTTGTTTAAACCAGTCAGTTTTTGGTACTTTGTTTCCATAGCCCTAGCAAATTAATACATAAAGGATAAAACACAAGTTAGAGTTTAGAACTGGGACAACACTGGAAGCAGGATCAGAGAGGAAAATGGAAACATTGCACATTGGCACCAATTCCTTATTTATCTTTCTTGGTGCCTGACACAAAATAGTGGATCGTTTTTATTTTTATTAAGCCCTCTCTAAATATATATATTGTCTAATTTAAACATGAAGAGCAACATCTCATAACTGGTTACTTTACAAGGCTGAAATTACCTACCATGTTCCACTTTCAGGTTTTCATCTGGATTATACGGTAACTGGATAGAGAGGTTTAACTCTGGAGTTGCCTGGAAGACAAATGGAATGTATACATTATGCCATTATTCATGGAGCATGCAGTATGACATTCCATACAAGGCCAAGCTGCACTGACGGATCACACTGTGGCTTTAAGGGAAGTGTTGACTGTGCCAGGTCACCAAAGGCACTATTTAGAGTACAGCAAGGGGGACCATGCGTCCAGCGGGCCACAAAGTCATGCGCTTTCCCCAAGCAGCCAATTCATACTCACTCTCTCGCTGGAAGTATGAAGCCCACAGCACTAGAAGAACTTAAAAGTATTCCAGCAGTTTCATTTGCAATACAAATGAATATTGCTGTTGGTTATTAAAGAGCAAGAGCCCAGTGGCAAATATCCGTCTTTTTCTCCTTAAGAAAGAAGAATCAGCCCTAACCGGTTTGGCTCAGTGGCTAGAGCGTCGGCCTGCGAACTGAAAGGTCCCAGGTTCCATTCGGGTCAAGGGCATGTACCTTGGTTGCGGGCACATCCCCAGTAGGGAGTATGCAGGAGGCAGCTGGGCGATGTTTCTCTCTCTTCGATGTTTCTAACTCTCTATCCCTCTCCCTTCCTCTCTGTAAAAAAGTCAATAAAATATATTTTTTTAAAAAAAGAAAGAATAATAATTCTAATAGATATCTTAGTTCCTGTTTCCTCCCACAATTGCATGGGGTGGGGGTGGGTATTGGGAGGAGGGACAAAAGGAAACAAGGCTTGCCTGGAGATTTCAGAATAAAACATTGTGAACAGGTTCTGGTGCAGGTGAAGGGCTGCAACGCTTGCCTTTCCTGCTTCTCTGAGCGTAAACCAGATAGTTCATGTTAAAGAATGGTGGGAAGCCTTGACCAAGAGCTCCTAGAACTGTCTGCACCCGCAGCTGAGCGATCAAATACAAACAAGGCTAGGCTCAGGGCCCTTGAGCGCCCTTGGGAAACCAGGATAAGCGAACAGAACATTAACCTGGAAGCCGGTGCCAAACCCTAAACTGAAGTTCACCCCTCTACGCCCCCTCAGCTTCCTAGGAAACCCTCAGCCCTGCGGAGCCACGGAAAGTTGCTCTGCGGGCCCATGCACATCCCGCTCGCTGCACAGGTCGCCTCCCAGGGCCAGGCGGTGGGCGGGCGGGGTAATTACGTGCGGCATCCGGTCTAAAAGGCCCCAGACGGTTAGGAAAGGGACTCCCCATTCTCCAGACTACTTTCTATCTCCAAAAGCGGGCACGACCCGCAGAGAACCGACTCAGCGTCTTGGAGAGGAGAGCTGCGCTCAGACAAAACGCTCATCATACCGGGGCGGGGAGGGGGGATGGGGTAAGGGTAGGGTTAGGGTGGGGACGAAAAGGAGAAGTAAACAGGTTTCTATAGCAACACTGATACAGTTATCGTGCCTTTTCGGGCCTTCCCAATAAGTTCTAAGTTCCTGAATCTTCGCACCCCTTCTCTCAGCGTGCCTCTTTCTCCTCGCCACCGCCATGCCTCCTCGCTGCACCCCTCTACCCTCCACCCAAGGGAAGGGCCAAAGGCGACTGCAGCGGGACGCTGAGGTGCAGGGCGACCGGCGCTGGTCACGGGCAGTTGCCTGGATGCACCTGGAGGGATCTAATCTCCCCCCCTCTGTCTCTCTCCGGTGACGGCGCTTCTAGTGGGAACGGAGCAGGTGGAGGAGGCTGGAGGGAGCCAGTTCTGGGGCAGTGCTAGCGGGCGGGCGAGGGTGCGGGTGCGGGGCGAGGGAAGGAGGGACCCGGGCGCCATAAGGAAACGGAGGCGCACCCGGAGCAAGGTCTCCCTCGCAGGGATCACCTTGCGCTGACCTACTTGAGCGGCGCTGCAAGGAAACCGAGCGCGCGAGCGCGAGCGCGAGCGCGAGGCCGGGCGGGGTGGGCGGGGCCGCGAGCCGCCTCTCGCGGGTGCTCGCCTGTGATTCGCCGACAGGCTCGAGCCGGAGCGTCCGCGGAGCGTGGGCGGCGGCGGCGGCGGCGGCGGCGGCGCACGTGGTGACGTGCGAGGGGGTGAGGCGCGCGCGAGCGGCGCCGCGGCGGCAGTGTCTCCGGGACGCGCGTGGAGGTCGGTTTGTCGGAGCTGCGGGGCGCAGTTTCTCCGCCGGCTGCTTCCGCGCGGCCGTACTAGCCAGCGAGCCAGCGAGCGAGTCCCCGCGATCCCTGGGCGGCGCTCCCCTCTCCCGGCAACCCCCGTGGGCCGATCGCTCGTCTTCCCGCTCGACCGCTTCCCCCCTCCGCGGCCTCGAGGCGCTTTCCGTTGGGCCTGCACCGCCCGCTTCCAGCCGCTCCCCGTCGAAGCTCCAGAGATGAGTTTTTCCATCTCTTCAGACATGAACCAGGTACAGAGCCCCGTTCCCGCCCACGGCGGCGGAGGGAGAGGGCGCGGCCGGGATCGGAACTGGGGGATGGCGCGGGCGGCCGCGGAGAGGGTGGGAGGCGCGGAGCGATGTCCCGATAGATACCCTGGGTGGGGGAGGCACCTCAGCCGCCGCCGCCCTCGGAGGACGAGAGGCTGGCGCCGCGCGGCCCCGTGCTTCGGGCGCTGCCATGGTTGCCGGGTGGCGTTGGCGGCCGCGGCGGGGACCCGCAGCCTCGGAGAGCGCTGGGGCAGGGGAAGCGGGGCGGGAGGAACACGGGGAGCCTGGGTCCAGGCGCCACGGGGCAGGGATGACCTGCCTTCCGGGAGGAGGATGCGGGGAATCTCCGTTCCCGCTGTCATAACCGATGCCTAGTGTGTGGTTCTGCCCGGGTCTGGACTCTCCAACGAGAGACCTCCCAGGACCCGGCGCGTGTGGGCGGGGAGTCGAGCCCGGCCCGCATCGGCGCCCCGGAGCCGAGAATGAGGTGGCATCGCGTCCCCGATCGCCGTGGGCCGCGGGGTCCTTTGTTCCCGCTCCACGTTGCCCGCTTTTCTTGCCAAGCGCGGGGAGAGGGGGGCGGGAAGAGGGAGGGAGCGGCTCTCCTGACGTGTCGGCGCTGAGTGACTGCGGGGCCGGCCAATCCCGGGCGGGGGTGTGCAGCGCCGGGCGCCCAGCCTCCCCGCCTGCGGACGGGCGCGCGGATCGAGGCCTGGGGCTGCAGGGCCAGCCAGCCAGTCACCGGGGCGCTCGCCCCAAGAAACCGGTGGAGAGGGTTGCACCTTTCACAGCCTTCTGCACACCTTGCCTTTGCTTACAAGCGCCCAGGAAGGTATCCGGCAGTGTCAGATTGAGAGATGGGCGTAGGGAAACTTGAACCACAAAGACTTGAGAAATGGATTTACTTTTCCCCAGCACGTCGTGCACAGATCTGTGTGTGAGACAGCTGACATTTGAAAACGATAGCGGGTAGACATCGGATGCCTAAAAGGCGCATTTTTGGTGTCCTAAAGTCTGGTAGTAATGGAGGGTTAGGACACCCTGGCCTCAAGCCGTTCTATGAGGACGTGTGTGTGTGTGTGTGTGTGTGTGTGTGTGTGTGTGTGTGTGTGTGTTGGATCGTCTGCTTGTAATAAAGAACAACTCTGGAAGCCTAGTGCTATTCGTAACAGTTGAGCATGTACAGCATGGACCAGACGGTATTTTCTTTTAGCAATTCCAGCTCTGGCGGTTGGTTAAAGGATAACAAAATACTAATGAAGTTCGTAGGCAGAGTCCTGCTGAAATTTCTGGCTTCAAGATGCCAAGGAGCAGTTAGTTGTATTTGTACACCCGGAGATGAGGCAAACACTGACTGTTTAGAATGCGATTGAGAAGAGTATGTCCCCAAGCAGACTAATCAAATGTCTATAATTTGGTAGCTGGAGTTTTGTAAAAAAGGACTAGGACTAGTGCCACTGACCAAAAAGAGACCCAGAATGGTTTTCCTTTGTATTTTCCTAATGGAGTGCAGCTCTGGTTAATAGATACTAATTTCTTAGTTTATCGTTCTATTTTTCTAATCCCCCCTTTTCTCCTCCCCCCAAGACAAAACATTCCAGGTTTTGTTTAGCTTTAAATTGGTGGAGTTTTTGGCCATTTACTTTGGGGTGGGATTTTGCAGTCCTTGCTTGAAAGATATTTCAGGTGGCAATTGGATGTGGTTTTGCAAGTAAGTGTTTTTTACTGAAAAAGTTTTCTTGTTAAGGAAATGTCTTAATCGTTGTCACTTACATCAAATACCACTAAAAATAATTTCATTGACTTTTCAACAGTTTGGCTGTATAATCAAACCTACTGAAGGAATTCTTAAAAGTTGGGGGTCCTCCAAACTTTTTGTGCTAGAGTGTAAATGGAGGAATTATGAATAAGGGAGTGATTTCTGGATATTTATTGTTGTTGTTAGGACCACAGAAAATACATGCCTATGCTCACTTCAATTTCAATTACCACCTTGTAAACGATTTCAGAACCTATACCTGTATCAATATTCTGACACTTGTGGTATCAACCCTAATGCTCAGCAGGTACCTCAGCATTATAATGTCCCAAAGCAAATTCCTCTCTCCTTTCCTAACTTTCAGGATGCAGCAAACTAAAATGACTGTTCTGCCTTTTGGGATTTTGATTTTGATAATGATGCCACATATCCAAGCTAAAATATTCTTACTGCCTTAGGATAAGCATGGGTATATAATATCTGTACTTCATTTTCCTGCGTTCATGTTTTACCCTTCCTGCAGACTATCCACACATTTCTGCTAGTGTCCTATGCTTAATTTGCTAAAATCCTTTGGTGGCCTCCAGCATTATTTAAACCTAGCATTCTTTTCTCGCATTTCCTCTCCTGCGAACTGCAATCTATTGAACAGAAATAGCTACAGTTTCTGGAATGTGTGTGCTGTCATTTTCCCTTTTTTGTTTGAGCTGTCCGTCAGGTTGGTCTGCATAGTGTTCAAGGCTGAGGAGTGGAGTTAACTTAATGTGTCATGAGCACCCCATTCCAGATTGTGCCTGCCATATGCCTGGTGCCATGAATGTTTGTGGGATGAAAGAAATACAGAACAGTGAGGTCAAAAACATGGAGCCAAGTGGGTCTGTCTGGTGACTTTTGATATGGATGGATGGTGATAGTAGTTTCATAGGTGACACTGGGAATCTATAACTTCTGGTTTTAAAAGATTCATTCATTGGTTTACTTTATATTATTATAAAGTCCTTTAAAATGGAGTTGGTTGATATTTTATGTGAGTTGACTACCCTCAAAGGATTGCCTTGAAGCTTAAATGTTTGTGATTTGCTTCAAAGTTTTAAGGATGCTTTAAAGTTTAATAAGGTTTTATCTTGCTCTTCTTTGAAGGCTGAGAAAAATGGAGGTAGGGGGCCAGGGAGAGGCAATATTGTGCCTACCTTTTCTAAACTCTTTGATAAGACCTGTTAAATTGTATTTCAGTTAAGCTCATCTTTTTGGGGGCTGTGGTAACGTGAATTTCTGGAAGTTACTAAAGAAGTTTAATTATTCATTTATAAGTCTTCTCCCTTTTCTTGAACTGGCCATATTAAGGAACTGAAGTATATTTACCAGAATATATTGTATTTGATCCCGGTTTTAATTTTAAAAGTGGGTTAGTCAAATGTATATTTTAAATATATATCAAACAAAAGTCTAAGTTTTATACTTTCACAGAAACTCTGGGATGGTGGGACTTTTGGTTTGGCTTGTCAAAGGAAAAAAGTTCTCCCTACTTTTTTATGCCACTGGTTTTTGAGCTTGAGTTTCATAGACCAAAAGTAAGATTTTTCTGTGAATTTTTGCAATAGTTTAAAACTCTCAGTTTGCTCAGTCTTACTTTAGTGAAAGCCAATGTGAATTTTTGAAAGACATGTTTTGCTATAACCCCTTCACTTGAGGGTGGGTGAGAGTAGGGACATATATGAGGAACGCAGTTGAATACAGTTTGCTACATTAACTTAAATGTTAAGTGGACTTGGACTAGCTTTTAAAATCAAGTAAGGTTGTACTTAGAGTAGACATTAAAGTGATGTTCATATTAAGGCCTTGATGTACTAGAAAATCAAGTACTAAATGTAGTGGGACTCACTCTATTGTAAAACTAATAATACTGTACAAATTCATATTCCAAGAGTTGCTCCAAAAATTCTCTAATGTGTTCTCCCAAAGGACTGAAGTGATTTTAATCATCAGATTTTGTTTTTAAAAATAAATTTCAAGTAGAACTTCCAATTTATTAAATATAAGTAGGTGCCATTTTATTGTTAGATTAAGACTAGTTTACAAATGGTGAATAAAATTTGCCAAAGTTTAAAATATTTATAAACCTCCATATATAATGTTTTTGGTTTTTCAAAGGGCACATTTTAATCATATCAACAGATTTGCAGGGCGGTTCGCCTTCCACCCTTGTTTTAAGAGCAGCTTATGAAATTAAAGTGAGGAGTTATCAAATGTGTGTGGATTGGCCTCTATATACCATATGTACAAAAATTTTCTTAATTTGAGCTGTCTTGGCAAAAAATGTTGAACAGTTTAAGATATAGTGTTTTCTATATGTATAGAGAATTGTGTCACTTGGAAAACATTTATTTTATTAGACCTGGTTTCTTAAGAAAAGCTGAATTAACTAATCTAGATAAAAGTGTAGAGCAGAGGAAATCAATATTACACCACAGTCCTGAGTCAGAAGAATACTCAGGTTTCTGTGAAATAAGACCTAAGTTACACAGTTAGGTCATATGGGATCACACTCTGTTACAGATCGTGTATGTGTTGAATTTAACACAAAAGGTTTGTTGAATTAGAACTGGACCAGACTCTACTGATTATTTACCTTAACATGATTGCTAGATTTAGAATTGTAGGTTTGATTAATGTATAAGGAAAGTTTAGGTAATTTTAAGATGTCTGTTTAAAAAATTATCCTCATCTTTCAAGTAATTTCTTAGTTCTGGTTTCCTGAATTAGTGGTGTAATAGCAGTTCAGGTGAATCTTTATATTTAAGTTTCTGGCTAAGTTGTTTTGGTAGAGGCTCTACCTTCAAGGGACCTTGAATCAAGGAAGATAAGCAGGCAACAGAAACACAACCCAGAACAGGCCAGCTGGAAGATGACACATACTTTTCAGAGAGGGTTCAGTATGTGGGGAAACTTACCTGGGGGGATTTGGAAGGGGCTCTCTGGAGCTAAAATTTCATCTGGCAGAGGTTGGATTAAGGTTATTCCAAGAAGGTACAGAAGTACAGAGCACATTTTGGGGAATAGTATATCTGGTTTGACTGTAATATTGTGTACATGTCTGGGAATGATGCCCAAGTTGCTTGCTGGCTGGTGAAAACAGAAAGATCACTTGTTTCTATGTTAAAAGGATTTAAAAAAAAATTAACCTGAGTAGTTGCTGATTAAATGGAAAATGTTTATAAATAGTCACATTATGTATGTTATTTTCTCTCTGTGCCATTTATGTCAAAATCTCTTCAAGATCACAACTTACTTTGTGTGATGTAATCTACCTAGATCAATGACATTCTGAATATCTAAAATTTTTCATTGTTACAGATTATGACGCATGATTATCACAGAAGAAATTCATGTCTATAGCTTTTAAGGACTTGATTACATCATTTCCAAGCCTGATAGTTTTGGAATCACCATTAGAGCTTAAGACACCTCTGCCTTCACTTCAACCACCTGTCTTCATACCTCAAAGAAGTGCTGAGTTTTAACACTCCTTTGTCCTTGAATTATTTAAGACATCCCAGAAATACATTTCTCACCAGTATAGAAGGTAAGTGAATATTCATGCCCAATGCAGCATTAAGACACCTTGCTTTTCTGAACACTGTACCAAGTACACTAAAAGCCTTTTATAATTTTTATAAGGTGAAGAAGCTAGTAATTGCTTGTAGTAAAAACACATTTTTCTCTTTTTCTTTCTATTTTGAATTTGAATAAGTTACTTCAAACTGAAATCTCCTATTTTTGCCTTTCTTAAAAATTGATTTTTAGAGAGAGGGAGAGAAACATCGATGTGAGAATGAAACATTGATCAGCTGCCTCTTGCAGGCCCCCTACCAGGGATTGAGCCTGTAACCTGGGCATGTACCCTGACTGGAATCCAACTGAGCCAGGGCCTATTACTGCTTTTTAATGATCCATCTTGTATAGCCCATTAGTCAGTTGTTCACAAGAAAAGGTGAAGTGGAAACTTTAAAAGAACTAAGTTTCTATCATGTATTCCTATAAGTGATTTAGGATATATGAAACCTGCATAGAGAACAGAATTTAAATTCATCTTACATATCAGTTTTTCTCATTTGTGGGTAAAGGAATAACAGTTTAAAACCTACACATGAGGACCAACTCACAGCTATCCAAGCTTTTCGTTTGCTTGTGGGAGGGGTTTGGATAGGGCTGGGTTTACATTTCTTTTCCCTTTACAACGACTGTGTTAATAGACATGGAAATGGCCAAAATTGCTGAGATACACCGTACTGTATGAGCCCTTAAAAAGACGGCCGAAGCGTAGGAGCACAGAGACCTGGGCACTCAGTGCCAGTGCTGTTTCAGTGACGCTTTTGTATGATGAAGTTTTCGTTGTTGATAGGATGGAATTTGAAAATAAAAATAATTGTGTTACTCTTTAAAATATAAAAATCACCGTTCGCAAGTAAAATAACCATTTCTTTTTGTCCTTCAGGCAAATTTATAAGGAAAAATGATTCCCAATGGATATTTAATGTTTGAAGATGAAAATTTCATTGAGTCTTCTGTTGCCAAATTAAATGCCCTGAGGAAAAGTGGCCAGTTCTGTGATGTTCGACTTCAGGTAGTTAAAACTTAATTGGGAACTTACAGAATTGGTATTTTTTACTAAAAGCCGAAAGATCTTGGATTTACTTATTTCCTCATTCATAGGAAGCATTTAATGAAATAACTTTTAAAAAGAATGATTAGCTAGAGAAGTTCGTAGTCGACAATGTTTCTGACTTTAATTCCTCATAATTTTAGGTCTGCGGCCATGAGATGTTAGCACACAGAGCAGTCCTGGCTTGCTGCAGTCCATATTTATTTGAAATCTTCAATAGTGACAGTGATCCTCATAGAGTTTCTCATGTTAAGTTCGATGATCTCAATCCAGAAGCTGTTGAAGTCTTGTTGAATTATGCCTACACTGCACAGTAAGTTTTTTGAAGTCATTCATTTAATCAGAAATGTCATCAGGAAAATCCACGTTTCTCTAGATCAGGGGTAGGGAATGTCCGGCCTGCGGGCTGTACAAGGCCCACAAAATCATTTGGTCTGGCCCTGCCAAGGCAATAGAGGTGAGTTAATTAAAAGTTTGACCAAATATAGCAGGCTAATTTTTAAGTTGATAATTTTGTATGGCCCACAAATGATGTTATAAACATCCAAATGGCCCTTGGCAGAAAAAAGGTTTCCCACCCCTGCTCTAGGTTTAAATTAAGAATCTGTTTTAAGGCCTTGGTATGTGAAATGATAAAGACCTTTTTTTTTTTTTTTTAAAATAGGTTGAAAGCTGATAAGGAATTAGTAAAAGATGTTTATTCTGCAGCCAAAAAGCTGAAGATGGACCGAGTAAAGCAGGTAGAGTACCAGAAGTAATCCACAAAGACTACTGTTGTCAGGGAGTCTTATTATTTAGAATCCATATCTTGTTATTAGTTAGTCTCAAGAACTTAAGAGTCTTCTTTTTCCTCTAGAGAACTGAATATGCTATTTTAACTACAGGTGTAGTAATGTAGCAAGGTCACACCTCCTCTCGGATAATATGGGCTAAAATCTTGTTTTTCCAACAGTCTTCTCTGGCAGAGTGTCTGTTAGTCTCTGATAGCATGAATTAAAATATTGTTTTTCTTAAATTATTCACATAACCTTAATTCTTTGCTCATTTCTTTTTTAAAAAAAATATCGGGATGATGTTCTAACCAATGGAGCTACCCAGTCAGAGCAATTCTTTGTTCTTTTATTCTTCTTGGTTTTTTAAAAGTATTACTTCTAGAATTTAACACCATTGAGAAGTGCTTAATAATTCATATGAGGAAAGGCATTTAATCCTCTATGGTGGGGGTCAGTAAACGGCAACCCTCCCAACAGCTGCCTGTTTTTGTCCAGTTTTATTTGGAACATAGCTTTCATTTTCATATGATGTATGGCCACTTTTCACCTATAGGGACAGTTGAGTAGCAGTAACAGAGGCAGTAGGCCCACAAGCCTAAAACACCTATCTGACCCTTTAAGAAAGTTTCCTGGCCCCTCCTCTATAGCACTCCTCTGCTTAAGAACCCTTCCCTGGCTTAGAGTACATAGCCCTCCGGTTAGCACTAGGTTTTCCCTAAGTAGTTGCTGTTTTTCCAAAAGTATTTCCTAATTATCTTTTGCTCCAGTCAAACTAAATTGCAACATCTACCCTACTTGCTATCTGCATTCTACACCATCATCTGTCCTGAAGAGCCAAGTTCAGATATTGCCTTCATGAAGCCTGATCTCATTATTCTAGTTGAAAATTGTACTTGTCTTAACATTTCATATGCATTAGCATAGCATTTCAGTTTAGTACTTTTTTCCTTACCCAGTTTACACATTTGTATGGCATTCTTTGCTGTTCATTATTCATATAGTATAAATTGTTTCTTCCCACTGTTAAACTTGTTCTATTATGGCAGTGATTGTTTATTCATCTTTATATCTTTACATAATGCTTATTTATTGAGTATGAAATGCCTGTTAAATAAAACGTATGTAAATACTATTTGTTTTCCAAGGTTTGTGGCGATTACTTACTGTCTAGAATGGATGTTACCAGCTGCATCTCCTACCGGAACTTTGCAAGTTGTATGGGAGACTCCCGTTTGTTGAATAAGGTTGATGCTTATATTCAAGAGCATTTGTTACAAATTTCTGAAGAGGAAGAGTTTCTTAAACTTCCACGGCTAAAGGTAAGGAGTAAAATCTATAAAGAGATATATACTACTTAGCTCCAGGCATGGAATCTTTGTCTATGTTTCAAGAAAGTGAGTGATGGTTATGAAAAAGTCAGTACATTGAAATGATAGTTATTTTTCCCAGTGTAATGATTTTCTGCCAGTCAGTTTGTTTACTTTCTTTGTTTTCTTGACTACTTAATTCTAATTCACAAGTTAGGGTAAATGCATGGAATGCAATTGGGCATCTTGACAGCTTTATTATGAAATTGAGAATTAAGCTGAAAATTGGAGGGTGAACACTGATCCATGTGTTACTGTTTTGTGTTTTTTCCAAATCCAGTTGGAGGTAATGCTTGAAGACAATGTTTGCTTGCCCAGCAATGGCAAATTGTATACAAAGGTAATCAACTGGGTGCAGCGTAGCATCTGGGAGAATGGAGACAGTCTGGAAGAGCTGATGGAAGAGGTTAGTTTTAAAGTAAATGGGATTCAACAGTTCTTAAAAATTATTTTGCTATAACATGAAGGATTCCCTTTCACTTTTATTTTATAACCATGACCCTAAAGAATTTAAATTTTGCTATAGGTACCCCTAAGCTGAGAAACAGGGGGGGTGTCCAGGTGAGCTGAATGAACTGTTCAGTTTGGTCTTCTGCTTTTCTTTTTTTTTTTTTTTTTTAATTTCTTTGCTTATTATGTGCTATTAACTTTCTTTAAAGTAGCATGTAATTTGCTTTAGAAATGGGAGGTGGTACACTGAAATTTTCTGTAGATTCTTAATTTTTCTTCACAGGTTTTTGCTTTAAAATTGACAAGTAGGTAAAAGCTTCTAATGGTTGTTCCTCCCCGTTGATTTATCTCCCCATAGGTTTATTAACAAAACTAGGATACCCAAGACTGAAGAAACAAGAAGAAACCTCAAGTGTATTGACACGTAAAGAAGCAGCAGTCCTGCCCCAGTTCTCCTAAGAAAAATCCGCTGTGGGCAGAGAACGATGATGATTTAATGGTGTTTACTCCTTTACAGGATTCTTTAAAGCTTTGTGTTTTTCAATGGTGTTGTTCATACGTAGTCACTCAACTTTGGCGTTTAAAAACCACGCAAAGAAAAAAATTAATGGAGAAATACTGGGAATTAAAATAGGCAGATGGAACAGTGGAGTGACTTTGAGTTTATCCCTCCACTTAAGCCTTTCAGGTTCACTAATGGCTTACCAAATCTGTTAGACCTTTAAAAATACTGTCATCATTATGTTCTGAAAAGGCTAACAGGCGATCTTTAAATTAATGGTTTTCCACTTTAAAGTCAGATGCATTCGCCATGTATTTGCATCTGTTAAAGGAAGCACTCTACAGCTTGTTTGAATTTTTGAATTTGTTTTTCTTGACATTGCCTATAGGACAGAAATATGTTTATGCAAATTAGACCACTTATCCTCAGAGGTGTAAACCATATTCAGTATTTTATTGTAAATATGTATACTCTTTAAGACCTTATATATTGTACTAGTGCCTTTTTTCTTAATGCTATATAATAGAAGCTATGAAAAAAAAATGAAGATTTCTTTCATGCCAATCAAGCCAAGGACTCTTCAGCCAGGATTAGAAGATTCTGTATTTTTTTATTTTTAAAATTTTTACACCATGACATGTATTTTCTTTGCTTCGGGATCCTGCCAGAGTAAGATGTCAAGAAGCTCAAGAAGCACACTGGAGGTTACCTTGAGGCGGTTGTGTGATCTGCGGACTAGAAGTGTAGCCATGGAGACAGTAGCCACATGGGTGTTCTGTTGCTGTTTTGCAGGTTCAAACCTTGTACTACTCAGCTGATCACAAGCTGCTTGATGGGAACCTACTAGATGGACAGGCTGAGGTGTTTGGCAGTGATGATGACCACATTCAGTTTGTGCAGGTACACATTGCACATCTGAGGTAACCTCAGGTTGAAATTTGATTAGAGCATTTTATAGTATACTGAAATTTTCCTTTAATAAAGGAAAGTGGAAGAATTTCACTGGTATGACTGGACAGAAACATTTTTGGGAGAAAACAAGCATACCTTTGAGTTACGACCATTTTTGCCACATAAAAAAGAATTCAATTAACTCAACAAATTAGGAAACCCCATTTAGAATTTTTCTCAATAGCATTTAAAAAATAGTAAGAAAAATTGCAAATAAGATTAAGCAATGTAGAAGTTATTTAGTTAGAAAAATAGTTGTTTGCAACAGGAATGACAATTAAATAGACCAAATTTTTTTTAAAAATCTCAGATGTAAACTTTTTTAGTTTATGGACAAATAACAGAGAAACTTGCACAAATCCTAAGTGTCACATAATGATGAACACACAAGTTTAAATACTACACGGGTCAAGAAGAGAAGATTTCTAGTGTTCTGGGAGTTTTCTTCTTGCCCCTTCTGTATCACTGCTCTACACTACCCCCAAAGGAAACCACTATCCTCATCCTAACTTCTGAAACAATAGGCTAGTTAGCCTATGTTCGAAGTTTACATACCTATAGTATGTATTCCTCTTTTGGCCTTTAGCTCAACATTGTATTTATGAGGGATAAAGTAGGCAGAGAGGACCCAGTTTAAGGGGTGTTCTCCTTTAATGATTAGAAGACAAATGATCAGGTGTAACCTGTAAGGTGGTGATGTCAGGTATTCTGTGTTAACGGCTGAATATCTTTATTTTCAGAAAAAGTTTTGGGTGTGAAGTTAACATTTTCCAAAAGAACTCTTTGAATAAACAAAGGTTGAATGCCTGTGTGACAGGCCCTGTGTTAGATATGGGGACATAAAAATGTGTAAGAGACCGTTTCTACTTGTAGGACCTTATAGGAGTAGGTAAAACAATACAGACTTATAAGACTTATCTACTTTAAGGTATAAAGGTAGGGCTTAGTGGAGTCAAGAGGAGAGAAACTGGGGAAATTTCACAAGAGTCATGGAGGATTAGAAGAGTCTGCATAGCAGATAGAAGTGTGTCAGATAGCAAAGAGTCTCCAAGGATGATACACTTGGAATTGCAGGTCACAAGACGGGATGTAGGTAAATGTCACCTGTATGGGGCTTATACTTTATCGTACAAATAGTGGGGAACTTTCAGAGAATTTTAGACAAGGGAATAAAATGATATGAACAGATGTATTTCACAACAGCAGAGGGGTGGGTTAAATTATGGTATTTCTATAGACCAAAGATCTGTGTATTAATCATGTTTTAGGCAAATGTTTAACTATCAGGTGGTAGCCTGTGGATTGTGGGATTCCAGCTGATTTGTGTTTTTTGTAACTTTACAAAATGATTGCATTAAACTTTTATTTTTATAACCAGGTACAGAAGGTAGATTAAAGCTCATGAGACTAATTTGTATAGGCACGAAGGAAAAAGGATGGACTCTAGACATTTATGGTTAGAAAGGTTGAGACTGTCGTTTTTTATGATTGTTCAGATGAGGAAAATTAAGAATTTGAGAGTGAGTGGGATTCTGACACATGACTCCTTAGGAGGTAGTGCCATGAATAGAGATCATGAAGGAAAAAGAATGAAGGGACACACTAGGCTTCAGGAATAGGGACAGAAGTTGAGTAGCAGCCATTAGGAAGGTAGCACAGCCAGAATCACATAGTGTGTTAAAGGCTGGTTAACCCAGGAGGAGAAATTTTGAAGAAGGACCAAAGTGTCTGCTGCAGAAGTCATGGGAGAGAAGGTCAGGGATACCTCTCCTACATTAGTTTTAGGAAACCACTTACTAGTAACCCTTGAGTGGTTGTAATTTCCAGAGTATTAAGGTTAAGAAACCCGTAGCGTGAGAGGCTGAAAAGGAAACAATCCCCAGAGGCCACCTCTTGGGCAGACAGAGGCGAAGAAAGCATGGGCCAGTGAGTGGGCTGGGTGGTAAAAGTAGATGTGGGAAAGTCTGAAGTTAGGAGGAATTATGTTTAAAATAAATAGAAAGGTGTTAACCAGCATTTCTATATAAGGTGTGTTGATTCTAGAACACCAGCAGTCTTCATTGTTACTGCACTTTCTCTCACATTGGTTTTCTCTCTAAACATTAGAACAGTTTTCTCGGTGTGATAAAAACCCTTAACGTGAGCAAGGTCAATTTGTGATATTTTGGATCCCTTCTTCCCAGGTTGGATGGGGTTTTATGTGCCTTATAATTCTAGTACCAGAGGGCAGTCTGTCATAGTAGAAAGAGTGGCTTTATACTTAGAATTCCTAATCTTTATTTTAGTTGTTACTGCCTTAGGCAATACATATTTTCTCCAAGTTTCAGTATTTTTATCTATAAAATGGGTAGGTAGTATTGCCCTCATTGGAGTAAAAGAGATGATGTGAAAAAGTGCCTAATGATACCTAGGAATATAATACATGTCCATATGGAATTTAGTAACCATTTACATGGTACATTTTGTACCCTTTCTCAAAATAGTCTACGTATGCTGTAACCACACTTGCTGAAGGGCGCAGACCAAACTTCAATCGTTTTTTCACAGCTTTAAGTAGCTCCACAATCTTTTTCTCTATTGTTACATGGCTTTTTGCTTCCACTAGAAATAGCAATTTCCATTAAAAATTTTACCTGCCATGAGACTCTGACCCTGGGGACCAAAATCAGTGGATAGGCAGACTTGGCCAGACACTGAAGGTGTAAGTGGTACCTGTTCTTTTGGCAGCTCCTCTCAGGGTAGTTAGTGTTGACTCTTCCAAGTCTCTGTGATCATGTCGTTTGGAAGTGTCATAGGCTAAAGTAACTGGAAGAAAATCATCAAAGGGAGCTCACACATGAGAACACAGTGTAATTCTCTTACTATCATATGAAAATTTGCAACTTTGCCCATTTCTCCCTCCTTTAGTGTTCCTGGGTATTCTACTTTAGTGAATGGTTGGCTCTTTTAGTATTATTGTTTCATTTCTGATTACTATTTTGTTTGTTTTGATGTAGTTTTATTTGTCTGGAAAACCGCTCTATAATACCTATAAGGTAGTCCTAAAGAAATATACTATTAAGTGTTTCTTGTATTTACCACTTTTTTTCCTGTAAAATACTTTGAGAGACTGGATGGATATTATTTATGTCTGCTCACTTTTTGCTGGCATTGTGTGAACATACCAGTGCATACGATTTATTTAGGTGTGAGTTTCATGAAGACAGTGGGTTAATGTGTTCTCAGTTAATTCATGCCATTTTAAATTTATAACTTCTTTTAGACTATTCTGTACTTAAGAATAAAGAGTATGTGAGTTGATGTGGGTTATGGGGTGGAGAACTTCCTTTTTTTCCCTCCATTAAGGAATTGATACTTGACCCACAATATATTTCTTAATTGTTTGAATTGAGCTTTTCCTAACCAGGCAATTTGTGTAGTTGTTACTAAATGATGGAAACATACCTGTAATTTGTGCCAGTTGGAAATGTTGGTCTATGCTAAATTTAGGCATTCTATATCTGTCATGCATAGGTGAAGGATACTAAGTGTTTTTTCAGTGTTGTGAAATAGCAACACAGGTACACCAGGTATGGTCTTTGGCTAGGTTTCTGTAGCTGCCTTTTGATTTTGCAGAAAAAGCCACCACGTGAGAATGGCCATAAGCCGATAAGTAGCAGTTCCACTGGATGTCTCCCTTCTCCAAATGCCCCGGTACAAAGCCCTAAGCACGAGTGGAAAATCATTGCTTCAGAAAAGACTTCAAGTAAGTGCATTATACTTACAATAGTGTCTAAAATGTAGTTATTTTTTTAAGGAGTGGAACCATTTTAGTACTTTCAAATTGAGGAAAAAACTCAGAAGCAACTAAGTTTGGAATACAATAGCAGATTGTTCCTGCCTGGAATCTGGAGTCCAATTCAGGATTGCATAGCAGCCAAATGTAATAATAATTGCATCCTAAGCATTGACTTCTTGTGCTTTTACAGATAACACTTACTTGTGCCTGGCTGTGCTGGATGGTGTATTCTGTGTCATTTTCCTTCACGGGCGAAACAGCCCACAGAGCTCACCAACAAGTACTCCAAAACTAACTAAAAGTTTAAGCTTTGAGATGCAGCCTGATGAGCTGATAGAAAAGCCCATGTCGCCTATGCATTACGCACGGTCTGGCCTGGGGACGGCGGAGATGAACGGCAAACTCATAGCTGCAGGTAAGAGCAAGGAGGGTGATTTCTTATCGGAACCTCCAACCAGCCAAACCTTCAGCGGGCATTTTACACTTTGTGACATGCATACTTTGGAAGAGAGGGTTTAATATGCCTTCTTGCTTGGCACTCCACTTTACCACACTGTAAGACAACAGAGAAATAAGTAAATACTGTTGTATTGTCTAACCTTTGGCGTAGTGTCTCTGATTCTTAAGAAACACTATAAAGTGGGTAAATTGTTCTAATTTTCAGACCAACACCAAGCCATTTAGTCATAATGATACCTATAAGCCCTTAATTAAGAAACAAACTAGTGGGGCCTTATAAGTTTGTGGATAAAAATTATTTTTCTCGCTGTGCTGATTACTTCTAAGCCATTCTGGACCAGAAACCCTCATCCAGTTTAATATTGTAAATGTAAATCTTTATGGTTCTTTTTTTAGGGGGCTATAACAGAGAGGAATGTCTTCGAACAGTTGAATGCTACGATCCACATACAGATCATTGGTCCTTCCTTGCTCCCATGAGAACACCAAGAGCCCGATTTCAAATGGCTGTACTGATGGTCAGTGCATTATGTTTCAGGAAGAAGCAATCCTTATTTGGCTTTTTCTCATAACTTGAGAATGGCAGAAATGCTCATCTCTCACTTTTGGTCTAGGGCCAGCTTTATGTGGTTGGTGGATCGAATGGCCACTCAGATGACCTGAGTTGTGGAGAGATGTATGATCCAAACATAGATGACTGGACTCCTGTTCCAGAATTGAGAACTAACCGCTGTAATGCAGGTAATAACACTTTTCTCCTAAGATAGTCAGTGTTTAAATGTGACAAATTATCAATGTGTAACCTTATTTTATACTCACATAGGAGTGTGTGCTCTAAATGGGAAATTATACATCCTTGGTGGCTCTGATCCATATGGTCAGAAAGGACTGAAAAATTGTGAAGTTTTTGATCCTGTAACGAAATCATGGACAAGCTGTGCTCCTCTGAATATTCGTAAGTTCACTTTTTCCCCCTTAAAGTTGTTCTTTTTGTTTTTTCCTAAAAAGACCTCTGAATCAATAGTACGTGTAGTACACACATTTTTGGGAGATATAATAATAATTTTGGTTTGACTTGATTTTATAGGTAGACACCAGTCTGCAGTCTGTGAGCTTGGTGGTTATTTGTACATAATTGGAGGTGCAGAGTCTTGGAATTGCCTGAACACCGTAGAACGTTACAATCCTGAAAATAACACTTGGACTTTAATTGCGCCCATGAATGTGGCTCGACGAGGAGCTGGGGTAGCTGTTCTGGACGGTGAGTATTGGGGTTTGGAGAGGTGAGGAGTAGGAAATGGCAAAAGTTTGTTTTAAAATTCTAAGAGAATGTCAGTGACAACTATATGCTTGTATAATTAAGAATTCAGAAGCTGCCATCTTTTCTGATGCAGTGGGGATTGGTGATTTCTTTTTTAGAAATGCCTTTCTTTATCAGAAACTCAGTACTTGATATAAAGTAAATATGTCAATTTTGATAAGTTCACTGAGTTAAGTTGTAAGTCATTTTCTTTCATAAACCATACTCAAAATGCATTTTGAAGAGTTTACTTCTTTAGAGCAAGAATTTTAAAGTATTTGATTTGCAAATCATCTAGATCTAGTTTATTTTTCTAATTGTCTACTTGATACCTAATTGGAAGTAAAACTTCTAGACTATTTTTAAGAGGTCTTTCCAAGGCATTAAACTTTTAAGTTTTTATACAAACACAGCTTTCTTTTCATATGCAGTATATTTACATACAATTATTATAATGAATTTTACATTGTTTTTGGAACAAAAGCAGAATATTAATAAGCTTGTGGCTCAGCTGGTGAAAAGTATGATCTGTAGCCTCTATGAGCCTTCTCAATTATTTTACAAGTACAGCAAGCCCTTCAAATAACATTTCTTTATAACATAAATGAGATGCCATAGGAACTCCACTCTTGTTTATAGCCTATGGTAAAATTACTTTCGTTAAATGTCTTTCACTTAAAGTCCTAGAACCTATTAACAACATTAAGTGAGGACCTAATTGTTTATGGGTGCAGGTAGGAATGATGAATTTGAGAATCTGTAATAAAAAAAATTTAAGTAACAGAAGTTAATGCTAACATTTTGTTTGAAAATGTTAACTGCTCTGCATGTATATTTGAAAAGTCATAACTCTCAACTTTGTTTCCAAGAATATATTTCTTTACTAAAATCATTTTATATAATTGGAAAGGGTTCAGTTTTCTGAAATCTGCTTTTCTATTACTTCTTTTAAATTTTAGTTGTTACACACTAGACTAATACAAAAGTTCCAGTGCACAGAACTATTCTGGTTTGCAACTTACTAGTTGTGTCTTTAGGCAAGTTGTCCAACTTCTTTGTGCCTTGTTTCATCTGTGAAATGGCAATAATAGCAACTACCACATAGAATTGTTGTGAGAATTGCACTTTAGTTAAATGTTGCCCTCCCCTTAAATTGCCTAAGTTCCGTGTGCAGGTGGTTTTTATTGGTTTTATTCTATCTATATCCCCCATCTCTAGAGAGTGCTTGTCACCCTAGTGGGCATCCTATATAGTAAAAGCCTAATATGCTAAGTGTCCAGTTGTCCATTCACCCAATCAAAGCATAATATGCTAATGATATGCTAAAGTCACTCCACTGTTTGCTATGACATGCACTGATCACCAGGGGTCAGATGCTCCTACCGGTGGGTTAGCTTGTTGTCAGGGTCCAACCGAACGGGACTGAGCAAGACAGGCCCGACATGCCCTGGAGCCCTCCTGCAATCCCTCCTCAGCTGGCCAACCTCCGGCATCCCTCCCTACCCCGATCAGGCATCATTGGAGTCCCTCAGCCTGGCCTGCACCCTCATGCAAACCATGACCCCTTGGGGGATGTTGGAGAGCCAGTTTTGGCCCGATACCTCAGGCCAGGCTGAGGGACCCCACTGGTTCACGAATTCATGCACTGCAATAAATATTTCTGACAGAATGAAGAGGCATTTCTAAAACTACTGATTTTAGCAGATTTCAGGGTTCTCTCTTTATCTAGACTTATTTATCTCATTTCTCTTTTAGGAAAACTATTTGTAGGTGGCGGCTTTGATGGTTCTCACGCCATCAGCTGTGTGGAGATGTATGATCCAACTAGAAATGAATGGAAGATGATGGGAAACATGACTTCAGCAAGGAGCAATGCTGGGATTGCAGCTGTAGGGAACACCATTTATGCAGTGGGGGGATTTGATGGCAATGAATTTCTGAATACTGTAGAAGTCTATAACCTTGAGTCAAATGAGTGGAGCCCCTATACAAAGATTTTTCAGTTTTAACAAATTGAAGATTCTTTCAAACTAACAGGCTTAGTGATGTAATTGTGTTTAGTAGAGGTACATTTGTGAATAAGGAGGGTGGGTGGGTCTAGAGGTTGCTCACAGCAACACAAAGCTTTTGCATATTGCATATTATTAAACATGCTGTACATACTCTTTGTGTTATTGGGAAAGGAATGCAAAGTTGAAGATCTGTTTTGTGTATTTTTAGGGCTACTTTGGTTATTTTACTTTTTGGAACTTGTTACTGTAAAAGAATAAACCAAGAATTGATTGGGCACATCATTTCAAGAAGTCCCCTCACCCCCACATTTGTTTTGCCAATTTGCACATTAAATGGCTTTCCTCAAATGTGTATTAGGGCAAGAGGGGGTAGAGTATTAAGATCTAGGCATTTGGGTTTTTTAAGGGCCCTTTTTCAATAACTGGAACACTCTATAACAGAAGATACTTATTTAACTAGATGGCAATGACTTTTTCTTATTAAAAGAAAGCTGACATGCCTACCAAGATTTAATCTTGTATGATTGCCTTCTATAACTTTTTATATTCTCAGCAGAGTGCTTTACCCGTTGAAGTAGGATGTGGCACATTCAAGTTACTGAAGTAGAATGGTAGACTTAAAGTATGCAGAGGGAGGTGTTTGTTTTACACAGCAGAATGCAAGGTTCGGGGCTTTTGCCTCAGCCACAATAATATTTTTGAGAATGAAGTACCAATGTTTATTTGAATGGAGCTGCTGAACAGTAACATAGCTGTAATTTTTATTTGAAATACTGATTTTAAATATTACTTTTTGAGGGTATTTCGTATAGCAAGCCACTTAATATGTAACAGTAAAGAACAGTGACATATTTTATCTTATAATTCCTGTTTTTATCATTAACAAAATCCCAAATGGCAGCCCTTGATTTGTGAGAACAATTAATTTAAATTGTATTGGATTTATGAATGCAGCCTTTATTAGAACTATGTTTTTGTTCAGTTTTTCTATTCATATAGATAAATATTGGTTGGGTGACTTGGTATCTAGTATGTAGTGCTATACATATAACTTACGGTGCCAAAATTAGCACATCCAATTGCCTGCTGCTGATGCAAACTATTAAAGGTACTTTGCAGGAAATCTTTGCACCATGGGATTAATATGCAAATGTTGTTTGTGTGCTCATTCATTACTGAAAGTCCTGGGGAAACTTATTTTTTCCAATAGCAATGAGCTTAAAGTGTTTGGGAAAAAATATTCACCTGTCATCTTACATCTGAAATAAGGATTGATGTAAGGTTTTAAGGTTTCTTCTCACAGAGAGACACAAACACTACATTAAGCTAGTGTTTTCTAAACTAAAAGAGGCACACAGGAATCTAATGGGCCAGCTGGGACAAGATGACTATCCAGTGGTAGCTATTCTGGGTTAGGAAGTAAATGAGGTATTTTCTGCATATTTCACTGGCACTTTGACACCTTCCCTTTATCACACAAAAACCATCAGGAAAGGAAGTCAGTTCACCTAGAGGCTAGTTCCTGCCTGTATCTATTGTTGGTTGTTCTGAACTAAAACTAGGTTGGCAAATCTGAGCCCAATGTGATAACTTCTTTTTTTAATGACTCTGTATATGTTCTATTTAACACAGGAAAATTAAGTTTAAGCAGCAAAATCTTTGAAATTCTCAGTTCCTAGGTAACACTTAAATGCAAATAATATGTGAGACTACTTTGGGTTAAAGTTTTCCTCCATTACCATTGATGCCAAATAGGTATTCTGGTGGCTAAAATATGTTTTTCAAGTATGTTTTGAATATAAGAAGCTTCCAATTAAAATTTTTTAACAGTATGGGTTTTGGAGTGATTTAGAAATAATATTGATAATAACCACAGTTGCAGTTCGTTTGTCATAATGCATAAGATGTACTAGGTCCCTAAAACAGTAGCACAACTATAAAATACCTGTTTGAATTAACAAAACAATTGGTTATACCTGGTATACCTCAGGCATGATATTTTTGTGTGACTTTTGAAGAGTTTTTATTTTTGGCTTGTATGCCATAAAAGCTTTACCATTACTCAACGTGTTTTAGAATTTCTTACATGATCATATTTTTGAGGAGGAGCCCCTGGATTTGGGAACATGATATAGTGCTAAAATTCTTGCTTAATACCTATAATCTCTCTGGGCCTCAGAATTCTTAAAGTTGAAGTAGGCAAAAGAGGAAGTACAATTAGGGTATTTTTGCAGCTCCAGAGTTACCTTTAGAAAAGTATGAGTCACAGCCCAGCCAGTGTTGCTCAGTGGTTGAGTGTCAACCTATGAACCAGGAGGTAACAGTTTGATTCCTGGTCAGGGCACATGCCCAGGTTGCGGGCTTGATCCTCAGTAAGGAGTATGCGGGGGGCAGCTGATCAATGATTCTCATCAATGTTTCTCTCCCTCTCCCTTCCTCTCTGAAATCAATAAAATATTAAAAAAAAAAAAAAAAGTATGAGTCACAGAAAACTAGTGTCAGGCATTTATTTGTATCCTACTATGTTCCAGAAAAGGATTTGAAGAGTCTTTTTACTAAGACATAAGATACAAGGTAAATTAACTGGGTGTAAAAGAGAACAATAAGCAAGGAAACACCAACATATGAATCTTAAATAATAGGGCCAAGCCACAAATTTGGTCCCATAAACAGGAGACTTGTTAAATAAGTCATCCATGAGAAAGGATATTCTTCCATTTGCTACAACATGGATGGACCTTGAACACATCATGTTAAGCAAGACAGGTCAGAGAAAGACAGACACTGTAATGATAACACTTACATGTGGAATCTAAAAAGTTTAACCTGTAGAAACCAGTAAAATGGTGATTAGCAGGAGCGGGGTAAGAGTGGTATGTTGGAGCATACAAATTTGGCAGCAAGTAGCAAATAAGCCATAAAGATCTGATGTAGAGTATAATGAATATAGACAATATAAATTACATAATGTGATAAATATAACTACACAGCAATCATTACAATATATAAATAACACAATACTGTACCTTAAACTTACACATTTACATGTTAAATTTACTCACTTTTTAAAAATCAAAAAAGATCATCTGTAGGTTAAAAAGAAATTACGTGAAGCACCAATATCCTTCATAATAAATCCTTTCTGAAGACTCTTAAAGTGAAACATTGATCAACAAGTAGAGTTTATGGAGAGGGATATACTCATGAATGCCACAGATTCTTGAAATTAATAGATGGCCAACAAAATATTTAAACTTCACTATTAATAGCTTCATCACTTGTTGGAGGTTAAATAAGAATGAGAAGCAAAAGCTCAATTATGAAACGGTATGTACAAGGTTGGTATCTTGTGAAAACAGGAGAATCTAAAAAGGACATACATTTGAACTGGTGGCTAAGGGATTGATAAAATTTTAGCCTTTTGGAGAAAAGAACAAGATACCAAACTCAAATGAAAATGAAACTTATGAAATGAAGTGAAATATCCAGCAATTTAAGAATGGGGTTGCTATATTAAATGGAAGGCATCTATCAAAGGCTACTTGCAAGTCATGAAAAGATCCATCTTTTACATTACGCTAGTGTTTTCTAAAACAAAAGTATCAAGTCTTGAAAGGCACAGGGCTTGAAAACAACAAAAAAAGCATCTGATAAAGGATTTGAATCCAGAACTCTCAAAACAATTTTTAAATGGGCAAAAGATTTGAATAGACACTTCAAAGGAGATAAATGGGTTCCATGAAATGGAACATGAAATTATGCTCACTATGATAAATCACTATGAATATGTAAAAAGCAAAATGTCACATTAAAACAATAATACCAAATTCTGGTTAGGATGCAGAGTAACGAACTCATTATTGGACAAATCAGAAAATGTAAGGTCACTTTGGAATACAGTTTGGCTGTTTCTTAGAGAAATACCCTATAACAATAATCCCATTCCTAGGTATTTATCCAAGTGCAAGGAACCCATGTTCACACAGAAACCTGTGTGAATAAAGCAGCTTTATTCACAATTGTCAATTAAAACTGAAATATTCTGCCCTAACCGGTTTGGCTCAGTGGATAGAGCATCGGCCTGCAGACTCAAGAGTCCCAGGTTCGATTCCGGTCAAGGGCATGTACCTTGGTTGCAGGCACATCCCCAGTGGGGAGTGTGCAGGAAGCAGCTGATCAATGTTTCTCATCGATGTTTCTAACTCTATCCCTCTCCATTCCTCTCTGTTAAAAAATCAATAAAATATATTTTAAAAAACCTGAAATATTCTTCCAACTAGTGAATGAATAAATTCCACTCATACAATAGGATACTACTTGGGAATAAAAATTGAAGTACTAATACATGGATGGATTGCAGGAGGATGCTAAATGAAAAGGCAGCCTCAAACGGCTCTATTTATAGCATTCTGGAAAAGTAAGTTGGAAAAGTCTAGTGCAAAGTGGTGCCAGGAACTTGGATAGGATAATCCTCATGGATGCTTCTCATGAAGTTATCACCAGCTCCTCACTACGACATAGCCAAGAGTATAAAGTAGGCACCCCTTACCCTGGTGTGACTTTCCCCATCAGTCCACTTTGGTTCATGGCATGCATATGATGGCTTCTGCTCAAAATATAATAGCCATACATATTAAAGAATGGAGATTTTAAAACCTGAAGTTGCTCTTCTAAAGATCTACTTATTCATCAAAACACATGTCTGAAAGCAACCTGCAGATTCAATGCAATCCTTATCAAAATACTAATGGCATTCTCAGAACTAGAATAATCCTAAAATGGCTATGGAATCACAAAAGCCCTGAAATAGCCAAAACCATTTTTTTTTTTTTTTACTATATATTTTTATTGAGAGGAAGTGGGAGAGAGTTAGATAGGAATATCAATTGGCTGACTTGCACGACCCCCACTGGGGATGAGCCCGCAACCTGAGCCTGTGTCCTGACCTGAAATTGAACTGTGATCCGGTTCATAGGTTGATGCTCAACCACTAAGCAACACTGGCCGGGCAGCCAAAACAATGTTAAACAAGAACAAAGTTGGAGGTACCACAATCCCTGATTTCAGACTACAACAAAACCACAGTAATCAAAACGGTATGGTACTGGGACAAGAAGACACTTAGATCAGTGGAGCAGAACAGCCCAGGAATAAACTTGCTTATATGGTCAATCTATGACAAAGGAGGTAAGAATATACAATGAAGAAACAACAGCCTCTTCAAAAAGTGCTGGGAAAACTGGACAGACAGATGCAAAAGAAAAAAAAAACTGGACCACTTTTTTACACTTACACAAAAACTAAAACTGTATTAAAGACAAAGTATGACCTGAAACCATAACGCTCCTAGAAGCTAACACAGGTAGTAAACTATCTGACATTAGCCTCTATAATTTATATGTCCCTCAAGCAAGGGAAACAAAAGCAAAAATAAACAAATGGAATATTACTCAGAAATAAAAAAGAATGATATCTTGTCATTTGCAACAACATGGATGGACCTAGAGGGTATTATGCCAAGTAAAATAAGAAAATACTGTAAGGTTTCACTTGTATATGGAATCTAAAAAAAACAAATGAACAAACCAAACAAAAACAGACTCATATAAATAGATCATACTGATGGTTGCCGGGGGGAGAAAAATGGGGAATGACTGAAAAGGTGAAGGGGAACACAGTAATACTGTGACAAGTGTGCACAGTGACAGACAATTACTAGACTGACTGTAACAAAATTAAAGATTAGAAGAGAAGGCAGCAAGGAGGGGGGGAGGGGGACCTGACATTTCAAAGAAACAAAGACTAAAAAAGTTTAAAAGAATGTTTCTAAAAATAAAAAAGACCAAAAAATCCCAAACCTAACATTAGAAGAAAACACTTTCACAGATCAATAAAATTTAAGAAATGTTGAACTAATTGACAAATTAATGCACAAAGTAAAAGACACACAGACTAAGGTAAAATTAAAATGCACATAAATAAGAGTGAAATAGGAAGTAGCAGTTAATAGGAGTGAAAAGAAACGCTCTGAAATGCATAACATAGATTAAAAGACAGGATAGAAAGACAGGGAACAAAGATGAGCCGAAACCCAACAGTAATAACCAAAAGCAGCTGATGGATTAGGACCTGAAAAAAATTCATTTGGTCCACGGGAAGGGATGTTTTGGCTCCTGAGGAGCAGAGGGCTTCTTCCCCTGGTGTAAAGCAGACAGCACTGTGAGCCCCAGCACTTCGGGTGCGAACAAAGCTCAGTGGATCCTGCACAGACTACTAGTGAGCATTGTGAGTAGGTTCTCTTTATAATCACACCTTGCACACATTCAGAAATACAATTTGGAAGTAAAATGAAAAGTTAAATTTTACTAAAAATAATTTATTACTTAAAAAAAGCATTTATAATAGAATACCAAATTAGGTTTAATTTACTAACAAAAGCATAATATACTCCAAAAAACAAGGACTTCCAACTCGCAGTATAAGTAAATAAGTCAATTAAACACTTGGTTTACCTAGAGGCAAACGTCAGTCACTGCCACCTAATCCCATTACCTCATGCTGCTTCACATGTAAGGGGAAACTGTATAGGGGTCTCCCTGCTCCTCGCTAGAAATGCACCGTTAAGTGACAAGCCTAGGGCAGAAGAAAGGGTGCTATTGAAAGTTGGAGCAGAAGTGACAATTCTATTTTCAGCACCTTGGGGAAGTGGAAGGGATGTGCATTGCATTCACCAGGTCTACATGGAAGATGCTAATCATAAAACAGTCCAGGGTAAGATTTCATTTGTGGAATAATGGTGAGTATGGTCATGTCCTAATTTTTTCTTGGAGTTTGGAAGTGTCCCTGATCATGTAACCATATATTCAGGGTTGAGAGAGACGCTAATGCTGTGCCTTCTTCAGGGGCCACAATGGCTTCTGCCCTAAGGTGAAAAGCAGCTCTCCTTTCCTTAAACATTCTGGCTCAGTATCAGGAGTGGAGGTAGGAAAGTATTGTCAACGTCAGAAGAGTTGAGTTCACAGTTTATCCCACAACGGATGCATTAGGCTTTTTAGAGAACCTCAATGAGACTGTCAGTAATAAGCAATCACCTTTTTATACAAATGAGATTTCTTACAAGTCTCTTGGGTTTGGCTCAAAAGGTTGAAAGCTACTCTGTTGTTCTTGAAGACAAATGCAATCCTTTCGAGTTACCAGATTAGGTCCTATCATTGAGCATGTCTTCACTCCACCCCCTGCTCTTGGCCTCCATATACACAGATGCATTGCACTGCTGCATGGCACGCTCCATCTCAACCAGCTGGCGGCATCCGATGGTTAACTTTTCCCTGGGGAATAAAGAAATGTTAAATCACTGCAAGAGAGCTGGTCAGGTAAATGAAAAAACTTCAGACAACAGGATAGCGCTGAGATTTGAAATACATTATTTGATATTTGAGAGAGAAGAATACCAAGAGTTACAGTTTCTTAACACAGACAAAACATGGGAGGATAAGCACTTAGAATAGTTCTCAGATAATCAACATGAAGATCTTGATCCTGGAATTCTGGAAATTGGCAGACCTGCTATCAACAAGCCAAATTGGATGCTTAAAAAAAGTCCTTTGTATGGTTTCTGAAGGACCTCTCCCAGATGTTGGGCTGATGTTAACATGTTCTAATCTGAGTGGTAAGCAAGGCTGGGGGGCGGGGAAGTAGAGCACATATTTTTGTGTTGTTTAGTTTGAGAGTTAAAGAACAGGTAGACTAGAAGATTCTAAGAGAATGCTTCTCGCTAGGAACAGACACTAGAGAGGGGATAGGAAGACAGGGTTTCAACTCTTAAAATTGCTTAAATAAGTTATCTAGCAGTTAAATGAATATTTATTATTCGAAACCAGAGGTGGAAGCAGTGTAATACCTAATATATGCCATGCCTACGAACAATTTACCCAAGATGAAGCCTACTTGGACTCTCAAGTGCCTAGAGTCCAGATCCCATTGAAACCTATTTAAATCTAGAGATTGTCTACCTAAGTTCATAAAGAATACACAGCATCTGACACATTAGGTGTTCAAGAAAAGGCAGTTACTTTTATTGTGTAAATGACAATTACTATTTCTTTGGCACTAAGATTACTCCCAGCCATCTCCAATTGGTAAAGATCACTAGCTCCCTCTACTTAGGAATACACTTAAGCAAAACATTGCCAAAGAAATTTAAAGACCTAAATTAGTGGCATCCCATATTTATACATTGGAAAACTTAATACAATGATAATACTCCCCAAACAATCTACATGCTTCACACAATTCCTATCAAAATTCCAACAATCATTTTTGCAGGAATGGAAAAGCTGATCCTAAGAGTCACATAGAATTTAAAGGACCCCCAAATAGCCAAATTTTGAGAAAAAAAAAAATGTTAGAAGACTCACACTTTCCAATTTTGAAAAGTTACCCTAAAGCAACTTTAATCAAAACAGTGTGGTATTGGCATAAAGACAGACATACAGACCAATGGAACTGAACTGAAAGTCAAGAAATAAACCCTGATATACATGGTCAATTGATTTTCGACAAGGGTGACAAGGCCATTCAATGGGAAAAGAATAGTTTCTTCAACAAACAGTGCTAGGACAACTTGATATCCACATGTCAGAGGAATTAAGTTGGACTCGTACCTCATACAAAAATTAATTCAAAATGGATTAATGACCTGTTAAAGCTAAAACTATAAATTCTTAGAAAAATATTTGGGGTAAGTATTCATAACCTTAGCCTTGGCAATGGATTCTTACATATGACACCAAAAACCCAAGCCACAAAAGAAAAAACACACAAATTGGATGCTATCAAAATTAAAGCTTTTCAACTGTAATTGAAAAATAAAAAAATTTTTAAAAGTAAAAATGCAAGAATTTATATGAACTGCCCAGCAAAAATTCTGTTTTGTCCCTTTAGGACAATATAAACAGTTCACATTTTAAGGAAAAAATGCAAATAACCCAGACGCACTTTTGATAAAATCAATTCTGATGAGGTGACTGCAATTTTTTTTCCCTTCTACCACCTGGTGCTCTGCCCCGAGCACCTGTTCGGGTTGACATTTACACAATTTTGCATGGCTTAGTTCAAAGATCCTTGTTCTCTTTTATGTCTTCGATATTTTGTCTGGTTTCTTATCTGGCAATGTTATTTTGGGGTAAAGTGTAACATAAAATATGATTAAACAGAAATCTCTCAAAAAAATAAAAACTTGCAAATTAATATATCTCATAAGGGTCTAATATCCAGAACATGTATGTCACGCTGCCAGGTGCCAAGCTGGTTGACAGTCAACAAGCCAAACCAAAAGTAACAATCAAGACTTGATTCATTTACTGCGACTGCAAGTAAGGGGTCAAATGAAGGTGTCAGATCCCTAATGCTCCGTTTTCCCCACAGAATGACGCCAGGCAAGGCTCAGACAATATGCAGTGCAGAGAGGGGGCAGTATCTCACTAATGAGGAGCCCCGAACTAAGGTCCTGCCTCTTCATCGACCCAAATGGCTAAGGGTGTCTTAGTCCTTTCAGCCTGCCAAAACAAAATATCATAGACTGGGTGGGCTCTAAACCACAAATTTATTTCTCACACTTGCAGAGGCTGGGAAGTCCAAGATCAAGGTGCCAGCATAGCTACATTTTGGTGAGAGCCCTCTTTTATAAGAACACTAGTGGCCCAGTGCACAAAAATTTGTGCACTCGGGGGGGGGGGGGTGTCCCTCAGCTGGCCTGTGCCCTCTTGCAGTCTGGGACCCCTCGGGGGATGTCCACCTGCTGGCCTAGGCCCGCTCCCTGGGCAGCCCGGAGCCCTCGGGGGATGTCCACTTGCCAGTGGGGAGCAGGCCTAAGCTGCAGTCAGACATCCTTAGTGCTGCTGAGGAGGCAGGAGAGGCTCCCACCACCACTGCTGTGCTGGCAGCTGGCAGCCTGGCTTGTAGCTGAGCAGAGCTCCCCCTGTGGGAGCGCACTGACCACCAGAGGGCAGCTCCTGCATTGAGCATCTGCCCCCTGGTGGTCAGCGTGTGTCATAGTGACCAGTCATTCCCAGTCGTTCTGCTGTTAGGGTCAATTTGCATATTGCCCTTTTATTATGTAGGTTAGAGGCCTGGTGCATGGGTGGGGGCCAGCTGGTTTGCCCTGAAGGGTGTCCCGGATCAGGGTGGGGGTCCCGCTGGGGTGCCTGGCCAGCCTGGGTGAGGGGCTGATGGCTGTTTGCAGGCTGGCCAAGCCCCCCAGTGGGGACCCTCACCCCCATGGGGGTGTGGCCAGTTTGGGTGAGGGGCTGAGGGCCATTTTCAGGCTGCCCACACCCCTTCAGGGTGGGGTGGGGGGGGGTCCCACTAGGGTGCCTGGCCAGCCTGGGTGAGGGGCTGATGGCCATTTTCAGGCTGGCCACACCCCTCAGCAACCCAAGCTCCCAGCCTCTCCTTTTTTTCTGGGATTTATTTATCTTCTATAATTGAAACTTTATAGCCTTGAGCAGAGCCCAGGGCAGGCCAAGGCAGGCGGGAAGCTTGGCTTTCTCCATCACTGGGGGCAACCCAAGCCTCCTGCTCACTCCAGCTCTGTGGCTGCCGCCATCTTAGTTGGGTTAATTTGCATACTGGCTCCTGATTGGCTGGTGGGCATGGCTTGAGTGTAGCAGAGGGACGGTTAATTTGCATGTTTCTCATCTACACTAATAAAAGAGAAAAATGGTAATTGGCGTACGGCGATACCGTTTTCATTGGCTAATCAGGGCTATATGCAAATTAACTGCCAACTAAGATTGGCAGTTAACTGCCAACAAGATGGTGGTTAATTTGCATATGTAGGCACAATGCAAGGAGGCGAAAGGGAAAGCAGGAAGAAGCCCCCTGCCACTGACAGTGATTGGAAACCCAGGGGGGAGCTAAGAGCTGGGGGGCAGGGCAAAGGCGGCCCTGGGGCTGCCTTTGCCCTGCCCCCCAGCCATGATCAGAGAATCAGGCGCCTTTGCTGCCCTGGCCAGTGATAGCAGGAAGTAGGGGTGGAGCCAGCGATGGGAGCTGGGCACGGTCAAAGCTGGCAGTCCCAGGAGCTAGGGGTCCCTTGCCTGGGCCTAAAGCGGAGCCCACGATCGCGGGGCCGCTGCAGCTGCGTGTCCCCGCTGCCCGGGCCGGACGCCCAGGCCAGAGGCGTTAGGCCTGGGCAGGGGCGGAGCCTGCAACCGCGGGGAGCTGGGGGTCCCCTGCCCAGGCCTGACACCTCTGCTGGAGGCCTCAGGCCTGGGTGGGGGGTGGAGCTGGGGATTGGGGGGATATGATGGTCCCCTTGCCCAGGCCTGAAGCCTGGTTCAGAGGCGTCAGGCTTGGGCGGGGGGTGGAGCAAGCGATCAGAGGGAGATGGGGGTCCCCTGCCCAGGCATGATTCCTGGGCCAGAGGCCTCAGGCCTGGGCGGGGGTCAGAGCCAGTGATCGGGGGGAGATGGGAGTCCCCTGTCCAAGCCTGACACCTCTGGTGGAGGCGTCAGGCCTGGGCAAGGGGCTGATCAGGTGATCGGAGGGTGATGGGGGTCTACGCCTCTGGCCGAGGCATCAGGCCTGGGCAAGGGGCAGAGCCAGCAATCAGAGGGTCTGGGGGTCCCCTGCCCAGGCCTGACGCCTGGGCCAGAGGCATCAGGCCTGGGCTGGGGGCAGAACCAGTGATGGGGGGAAATGAGGGTCCCCTGCCCAGGCCTGACACCTCTGTCAGAGGCGTCAGGCCTGGGCAAGGGGCCGATCCTGCGATTGGAGGGTGATGGGGGTCAACGCCTGAGGGCTCCCAGTATGTGAGAGGGGGCAGGCTGGGCTGAGGGACACCCCCCCACACACACCCAGTACACGAATTTCGTGCACCGGGCCCCTAGTTTATTATATAGGATTATTCCCACTTTGAGGCTCCACCGTCATTACCTAATCACTTCCCAAAGTATGATCATTATCTTGGGCAACAGGATTTTAACATATAAATTTTGGGGGGACATAAATATTCAGAGCACAGCAAAGGAGAAGAGCTAGGAGTAGAAAAGCATTGAGTCAGAGTGGAGAAAAATACTATGGCCAAGGCCTCCAAAAAGGCCTCAGCAGAGGTGCCTCAGCCAAAGCCCCCCCAACCGAGGCCTCCAAATGAACTTGCCTGGACTTGGAATGCAAGTACGCAAGTGAGCATGCCCAGCCAGGGGCAGGGGGCCTGAGCATTGCCTGCAGCCCCCTCGAGAAGGCTGTAGTTCACTGGCTATCTACAGAATCTGGTATGGAGAAGGTAGCTTTTCCCAATGGAGCCCGCCAGATAAAAACCATATAA